TTGGGGGTTAAGCTGCACAGCACTACCGCTTACCACCCTCAGGCTAACGGCCTCTGCGAGCGCTTTCATCGCTCCATGAAGGCGGCCCTCAAGGCCGGCCTTACGGACGGTAACTGGGTCGACAAGCTGCCCTGGGTGATGCTGGGCCTGAGGACCGCACCTAAGGAAGATCTGCAGTGTTCTACAGCGGAGATGGTCTACGGTCAGCCGCTGAGAGTTCCGGGGGATTTCCTCCCAAATGCATCGGCTCCCTGGTCGGCGTCGACCCAGCGGGCTTTCCTGCGTGACGCCGCTGAGGCCTTTGCTCCGATCCCTACTACTCAGCACGGTACTCAGGTGTCCCAGGTTCCCGCAGAGCTCCGCTCGGCGGAGCACGTGTTCATCCGGCACGATGCGCACAGAGGCGCCCTGCAGCCCCCTTATGATGGGCCTTTCCGGGTCTTGGAGCACGGGGACAAGCACCTGGTGGTCGACCTGGGTGGCAAGGCCGAGTACGTCTCGGTGGACCGGGTGAAGGCTGCTCACCTGGACTTGGACCAGCCTGTGGTGCTGGCTCGACCTCCTCGACGGGGCCGCCCCCCGGCCTCGTCCCCTGTCACGGATTTAAGACCTTGTTGTTCCGGTCCCTCCCCTTCCGGGGGCCGCACAGGCGAGAGTCACTTTTCCGACTCCCGTGCTCAGGAGTCGTGGGGGTCGGCGTGTCGTTCCTCCCCGCCATGCTGATTTTGTTTATGTGTGAATTCTGGGGGGGCTTGTGTGGTGACACGTTATTGGACATAATTCACCTTGCTTATTGTGTTGCCACACGGACCCTTTAGTGGGGAACACCTGTAGCTTTAGCTGCCATTCCTGCTAGCTCATCAGGCAGAGCAGTGCATGTGTTAACCTCTCTGAAAGTAATGGATAATAAAGATTGGAACTCCATTCTTAATACACCGCCTCCGACTCTCTTTTCACGGCACTACAGTAGCCTAATTTAGAGCATATAAAAAGAAAGACTTGTGTTATGTCTTCCTTAATGCAATAGTAATTGGGGGTGCAAGTGGAGTCTCGCAGAGGCAAAACTGTGGCGCGCTTCACTGTAGGTGCGCCGCAGTCTGTATGATCTGCCTGCAGGGAGGGGCGGGCCGGCCCTGCGAGTAAAGTAACGAGTAAAGTAACGAGTTACTTTATGTAGAGAGTAACGAAGTAGTGTAATATATTACTTTTTTAAAAGTATATGTAATATTACTTTTTTTTAGTAACGACCCCATCTCTGTTCGTGAACCCTTTGAAGAGTACTGTCACACCGGTGTGATCATTCTATAATACACCATTTAAGCCCGGGGGAATAAATGCTAACGCTACATTAGCATCGGCGATCTGTTCTACTTCATGCTATCTGCACAAATGGTTGACATTAAACATTAAAAAGATCAGGCAGTTCAGAAAGAATCAAAGGAAGGCAGGCAGGCAGCTTTGCATGACATTCTTCTGGACGTGTTTCATTGTGTTGATAGTGAGGGTAGTCAATCACTTTTTTGACAAGACACTAGTGACGGCCATCTTGGTGACGTGTGTTGTTGTAAGAGTCTGCGAGACCAGAGATGTAGTTCATTGAGCGTTTCACACAAAAAAATGTGTTACTTCACAGTTTTACGACACATTATTTTTTTTTGACTGGCAAAATTATCTTTTAAATTGACAAACATGTGTAATTCGTGGCACAATTCAAACGGGATCGAAAGATAATCTTTCTCTCTCCATTGACTTCAATACATATAATTTTTTCCGAAATAAGGTCCCATGGAGCTCACCCGGAGGGGGAGGGACTTCACCACTCTATACGCCGTGAAGTTGTTTGCAGCCTGCCAGTAAACCCAAAGCAGAAGAAGACGAAGTGACGTCAGCGGCTCATTTGCGTAATCTTCCCTCAGGGAAAAGTACTCCGGTGTGAACGCGATTGGCACTTATGGCGCATTTCCACTGCAGCGGGTAGCCCCGTTTAAGCGTTCTTAACCGTCCTCAAGCGGCCAGGCCGGTTTTTGGTGGCGTTTCCATATAGCCTAGTACCGGCCAGCGGGTACTTTTTCCCTCTTTTTCCGGCCTCATAAAATCGTGGTTCCCTCAGACCAGGGCCAGGGCTGAACTAGTGACGTCAACACTCTCGACTGCTGATTGGTCAGAGAGAATCGTCACAAGATCGCGCGCGAGTTCATCCCTAGCGTCGCATATATATTTAGAAGCAAGCTTGCAGCATTTTTATAAACAGCATTTTGTAAACGGATGAGCTACAAAAATGGCTACGTCTAATAAGAAAAGCACACCGTGGTCGACCGAGGAGGTGACGACGTTCCTACATCTCATTAGGGATGATCAAATCCAGCGGGAGCTCGACGGAACAACTCGAAATGTGAACAAAAACAAAGCCGATCGCCCCGCCTACACTGCGTTGCTGCCTCAGGTCCTAAACTGTAATGGAAATGCGCCACGGCCTGGGCCGGCCAGCGAGGCAGCCCGAGGCCAGAGCGAGGACGCTTAAACGGGGCTACCCCGATGCAAAAAAACGCGCCATTAGTGCCCTGGGGTACTAAGTGTCGGGGCACTAAGTACTGCAAAGTACGCGGTGTGACACTTGATTATTTGCTAATTTGGTTTTTAATTTACCAGAACTTCTTTTAGTTTGTTAGGCCAGCTTCACATTGGTGCAAGTGACAGCTTGCTTGTGATCCAGATGTTGATTATACCGAAAGGGGAAATCATGAATTTATAATTAAACACTTCGAACATCAATTTGGATGATTGCTGTGACTCTGTGGGATTCAAAGAGACTTGTCAGCTTTTCTCTGAAGCACAACAGCCTGGTTACATGTTCTTCTGCATCTGTATCACCCATTCATTTATTCATAGGAAAAGAAAGAGACATATTTGGACTCTTTGTATGTTTTGATTTGTTTCTATGATTAATAATATCAGATGAAAGTTTGTGTAGCTACATCTTAAGGATGTCCCTCTGCTCACTGTAATATATACAGCTATGTCTCCTGTTTAAATATACTTTTAATTTGCATATGTCTTTAAAAGTGCAGGAAAAAATGTTGATCCACCTAGCCATCTTAGAAAAACATTTTAAATGAGATGCTTCCTTTCACAGTCAAATTCTGAAAAGCTGTTTCATGCATTTATTTTGAGAAGAGTACATAATGCGCCTTTTGCTGGAGTGACAACAATGTTTTTTAAGTAACCAGAGTAAGAAAAGGCTACTAATAACTCAAACCAAAGGGTTTGTAATCATCTCCCGTATTTTAACGTTCTTTAATTTGCTCCCTTTAACACAAATAATTGATTTGTTGTAGTTCCTTCGTCCTTCATTGAAAGCTCAGTGATTACACATCGTACATTACCCTTAGATCACCCAGGAAAAAGGTCTCCTGAGCTAATGTGCCTCCAGTCATTATGCTCCTACTCTCTTAAATCTATCAACTAAGGTATTCTTTTAAAAGCAGACTAAAAACAAACCTTACATCACAAGGCTTTGGTGTTTTGTTGACTTGTAAACCTTTATGAGAGAATTATAATTATTATAATTATTGTTGTTTTTTTGTTTCCTAATAGTTTCCTATCTTATACATTTTCATGTAATACCATCTCATTTATGTTATTTTTTTCAAATATATATATAATGTTACCCTTCATGTAAAATACGATTGTACTATGCACACCTTGACATATGGGAAGATGATTACGAGAGAACTTGTGTACAACTTAGTTTACAAAGATGAAATGTTATTGCAAAAAATATGCGGATTATGAACTAAAATGTGTGTGAACAGAAGAATTTATATAATAGCAAACATTTATATTTTGTGTAATGGCAAGAGGGGTGGGAATGGGGGCGTGTTAAGTGGGCAAGGGACTCCCTGCCCTTCATTTTCATTTTCTATATTTACATTAGTATAATTTGTATCTGTATATTTGTCTCATATTGTCAAGGTGACTGAAAATGTCATAAATGTCATAAAAAGTTGGCCTGAAAAAAAGAAAAGAAATGTATGATCTTTAGCCTATTTTTTTGCTAATTATTTTATAAATAAACTTGACTTGTTGATAGGATAACCTGTCTTTGATCCAGGATTTCTATCCATGTGCCTCCTTATCCTCATTAATGCTCTTTAGATATAATAGTAAGGTATTTATTTGTGCTTTTACACCAGCCACTCATGACATAACAAACCATTTTTGAAAAAACACAAGCAAGTAAATGCGTGAAGTGCCAATGCACCAAAAACATGTTAAAACAACTCAGAGCTCAAGACTCACCTTTAAGAGCATGGGTGTTATCCTTCTTTGGCCTCCAACTTGAGTTGAGTTTTGTTTTTGTTTTGCAGCTGGTTTCGGTGGCCGGCTCTTGGGATATGCTGCAGTTGGAAACAAAGTAAACGGCACTTTATTCAACTGCATTTAAAATAAACATTATTACCAAGTGTGTTTGCTTTAGTCAGAACACGTTTATAATTACGTGAACAGTAATGTGTGCACAGTGCAGTTAAAAAGTATTTAAACAACGTTAAACCTCTACAAATACTACTTACAGCCCATCTGGACTGAAAATGTATACAATGCGTTTGATTAATATATATATATATATATATATATATAATATGCTGTTAAACCGAAGCAATCCCACATACTGTCAGCAAATTAATTGTGTTAGTGTGTTGCTTGTACAAAATCATTGCAAACTGTGAGAAAAAAAAAATACTGGGCTGGTGACAAACCAGGTTAGAATTAAACATATTGTGTACAGAATACGAACATGATTTAATTGACTTTACACATATGTCCAAAATACCATCAGGAACTAATAGCTTAGTGTTTGTTCATGTGATATTGAAAAACTAAAATGATTTCAGAATCTGCTACAGAACTCACTTTGATACAAATACATTAACCAACACTGCCGCTGTGTGGTGTAACAGAGTATTGCCATTTAAAAAAGCTAGGAACCATTGTACTAATCGGTGTTTCTGCTCGGAATGTAACATAGGATGGTTAAAGACGTGAACATTAAAAGCGATTGCATTAACACATAACATAATCCCATAGTTAGGGTCGTATTTGCTCACAGATTATTCAATGGTTACTGTTAATATGCCTGCTGTGTTTCCAGTGCCAGTTATTGCATGTTAACTTTTCCATCTACGACACTGGCAAGGCTTCGGTTAAACTGAGGAGTGAGAACTCTTTTCCTTACCTTCTCTATCGTGTGAGTACATATATGTATCATAACATTTCGCCTGTGAAACCTTTTTAAAAATACAGACTTATGACATGCAAGTCAACGCTAGCCGTTTAACATGGTAAACATTGTTTGTGGTTCAACAAGTATCGTTAAATAGTAAATTACAGTATTAGCAATTGCTACTTTTTTTACACGGCGTAACATATAGCCTACTCTTTTGTTTGTTCTCCTTGTAGGTGAAAGACTATGAGTAAAGAGTCCAGAATGAGGGCAACAGTAAACCAGAAGCTGACGGAGATGGGAGAACGAGAAAGGTGCGAGAAAACCAGAGATAGCTCTGGTTGAACAAGTAGTACATATTATTTAACAACGTTAGCTTAATAGCAGTAAGCGTATAGCATATTCATTTTATGAATGCATCTTTACGTACGAGCGTCAGTCTTTGTGAAGTAAAGCCAAACATGTTTTCTGTAACTTATTATTGGCTGTCATTACAGGCATAGCATAGCCTACTCTATTTTATTAAATACTTCACGCAATATTGGTTACATATTTGCTATAGAACACTAACACTGTGTTGTTAAGGGTTACTTTAAAATACTTTAAATTCATTGCGTCCATTTTTGTTAAAGGAAATTAATCTCAGGAATTAACGTGGTATAGATTACTGTATCAATGTACATTATAGCTGCTCGAAAATACATGAAAGCTGTCACTTAATATCTATATGTCAATACAGTGCCACAGTGACGCGTCCTAAAACTCGGAAGTAAACTCCTTCCGGTTCCTTCGACAAAAACCAATGCAATTTCTCCATAGGATTTTGGAAAATAGCTCAAAATATGGTCTGTGGTTGACACAAATTGAAGAGAGATCACGTTTTGTTCATTCGGATAATCTCCACATGTCTACCTTACTTTTATAATTTTCAAATCTTAAATCTCAGTGTTTCCCACAGATCTAAAATATACTTGGGGGGGGATTTGAGGTAACGTGCCTTTGTGACGTGCACCAACATTAACATTAACCTTTCTGTTGGTCGCTTGTTAGCAGACCCTTCACGCGATGGCAGAGTACAGGCAGGGCCCATAGTGTAGCCCTATAGTTTAAATCTACTACCCACAAATAAACATATGGACATGGGTTACTATTTTAAACAAATTGTAAATGTTTTTAGGAACCTATCCATGTGATTTTAAGTGGGGGTGGACCTCAAATCCTCTAGGGGGGTCCGGGGGCATGCTTGGAGTTAAATGCATCAATCTGGTGCATTTTGAGGGGAAAATAAAGAGACTGGATCTATGGAAACACCTATATGAAACGGAACTGTATACATTTCAATAATCATAAAATCATGGCCATAACCAATAACATCCCATTTCCAATATGAAAAAACACTGAAAGTTGTTTATTTATTTATTTTTGGTTCATTTATAGTTGTGAGTGTGTCTGGGCTCCTGAATCAGCCTCTCCTGTCTCCCCCCCCCCTCTCCTTAAAAAAAACCGTAAATGGGTCGCGAAATATACTTGGGAGGCTGTTAATATACCTGGGCGGCCCGCCCAAGTATAGTTTGTGTGGGAAACCCTGAATCTATCGATCATACATTTATTGATTAGATTTATGATTCGAAAATTATAAAAGTAGGGTAGACATGTGGATATTATCCGGCTGAACAAAACGTGATCTGTCTCTTCAATTTGTGTATTGCTTTTTTCCAAAATCCTATGGAGATATTGCATTGGTTTTTGTCGAAGGAACCGGAAGTGGTAAAATGCTAACTTACTTCCGGGTTTTGGACGTGTCACTGTGGCACTCTATGTACATTTTATATTCTTAACACATGAGTTAGGTTAGAGAGGTTATAAGGCAGAAACTCACCTGTTATATGTTCAACATGTCATGAAACTTGCATAGTAACAACAGACAGAATGGCACATCAGGGTCAAAATAACCAACGTTGTCATCAAGATGAGGAACTTGTCAGGTGTTATTAATAACACTGATTAGCATAGGATAGAAACAGGCCTGCTATAACCTCATTAACATGTGTCTGCATCTATTGAAAGACTGAAGGAGTTACTGAGGGCTAAGCTAACTGAGTGTGGATGGAAGGACCAGATGAAAGCTCACTGCAAAGGTAAAAACGACAACATGCCATCATAATGTCCACTTTAAAGTTCCAGTTTGAGATATATTAAGACACATTTCAGACAGCCTAAATTCTATATTATTACTGTAAAAGCATGTGCTTTAATAGTCAAACAACACACCGTTTATAGCAGTTACTTTGACTTGCCATCTTAGGAAGAGACCTGTGCCCTGTACTACGAAGCAGGATTTGCGGTTAGCAAGGTAACTTCAGGGTTAACTCTGGGTTTCTGGTCCTACAACGCTGGTTCACTTCTTATCAGGGTAGATCTCCATGTTAACTTATGCTGAAAACCTAACCTGCTCCGGAGCAGAGACGGCCGGCAAAAATCATAGACTGTGTGAACGTGAAAATTAATAGAATATCACCTCCCATCTTCAGAGTAATCTGACTATTATAACATTAGCGTTAAGAAAGCTTACTTAAATATCTGCCACAACATAAGTAACCGGATCAAAGTAACATTACGTACGGTCACTGTGAGTGCAGACGTCGATGTGTCCCATTATCATTCATATCACATCATAATGTATCATATTTTGTGTCAGCTTCTCGAGCCGTATCTGGCCATGCAACACTTATGGCGCATTTCTACCATGGCGCGGTTTAAGCGTGTCGTGCCGGGCCCGTTTTTGGTTGCGTTTTCCACTATGCCTAGTTGACCGGGGCTACTTTTTCACCTTTTTTCTGGCCCGACAAAATCGTGGTTCTATCGGGGCCAACAAACAGGGCTGAGTAGGGCTGAGTTCGCTAAACTAGAGAGGGAATCGCTGGCAAGGGGGCTACAACTACAACAAGATGAACATATTTGACCGTGATTTAATTGTAATACATGTTTCAAAATGATGCCGAAGTAACAACACACTGATACCGGTTAGTAAAAACCATGTTAATGCTTAATTAATGCTTTGACAAGTCTGCAGACAGACGGCAGGCGAAAAACCTTTTAAAATGCGTGTTGTCTAAATGGAGATCGGCTAAGCTAACGCAGTATATGCTCCGACCGTCCACACTCACAACAACGGCCTATACAGACATAAATAAACCATGACACAGTTAGTTTGTACTTGTTTAACTTTTGTCTAGTTTCTGAACAGATATGAGGAGCTGTGAGCTTGAGTGCTAACAGCTAACGATGTTGTTTTTCTGGGGTGCTCATTGAAGATGACGTCACGGCTCTGCCTACACTGCGTTACTATAGATACTACCCCAGTTCCTAAACTGTAATGGAAGTGCAGCATTAAAGTGAGCCGGGCCTAACAAAACCGTACTATGTCGAGCGAGGCCTGCGGTGGAAATGTGCCATTACAGTGTCACATACTGTAGGCAGAAGTATTATTTTAAGCAACACATTAAGTTGACGAAACACTCGAGTCAAATGTAATTAAAGTCAGATCGTGTCTTAGACGGGGCAGTGATATCATAAAACTGTTTATGTACGAATTCTAACACTTTTTTTGTACCAGCTGTATTCACCTTGCAGCCTATGTTGCTTTTATCCTGGATAAAGTGTTTAAGTCATGGATATTTAAAGTTTAACTTCTTCATATTTGTCTAACATGATAGTTTACTTTTCATTCAGGAAGTATGACGCTGCGCTCTCAGTACGCTTCTCCATGTTTGTGATTGGTCAAATGTTGCTAACCCCGCCCCTTTCACATGAACGTGCTCTCAGCTGGAGAGAGAAACCCTGGGTTGATTTACCGAGTTGATAATCAGCGTCGTAGGACCGCTTGGCGAGATCGCGTTTGTTAGGGTTAGTTAAGCCAGATAACTCAAACATATCCAGGGTATGTTGAACTGGCTTCGTAGTACAGGGCACAGGTGTTACTAATTAGCTGCTAAATGGAATTCAGCCATTAATCATGTTATCGTTTGCACCTGTGCGCTTCCCACAGTAACATGTCAAAATGACTCGTGAAGAATGCATGTTGGGCTATATAATGTCTTCAATTGTTTCCATTCCTATGCAGACTGCTTCAAAAGAATGTTTGTCAAATATTGTCTATTTTCAGAAGTAATCAAAGAAAAGGGCTTGGAGCATGTGACTGTGGAGGACCTTGTGGTAGAGATCACTCCAAAAGGACGAGGTATCTATATATTATATATGTATTTGGAAGAACAGATACGACACGTTCACAGCTTTTATTGCTGTGCATAACATGTCTTTTAGAAATTACACTTAAAATACATGTTAGGTTCATGCTTTCTTTGCATTTGTGTTAATTTGCAAGCAGTAAAACCGTACTTTTAGGCTTTTACTTTAATTCCCTCATTGACATCAACAATTTGTGCATCCATCATAGATACACAGAGATGCCACTTATTTCACCCACAGCAGCCTCAGTTGGCTCATTGCTCATTGATATTATTTCTCTCTTTTGCAGCTTTGGTGCCGGACAGCGTCAAAAAAGAGCTACTCCACAGGATAAGAGCCTTCTTAGCTCAGCATGCCACATAATTTAGATTTTTTACTTTTCCATTGACCATTTGTCTTTTTATCATAATACAGAATATTTTGTATGGATTGAATTACTTGAATCTCAAAGATTTGTTTTTGTTGTATTGCATTTCAGAGGCTCGCTGACACACACTTGGCACACACTTAGTTATCACAAACAGTTTGTGTTAATGCTCTACATGTACATGTCTAGTTGTCCTTTGTATAAGAGATATGCTGTATAAATAAAGTTTTTGATTTACTAAACATTCATTTGAAATGTAATAAAACCTGCAGTATAATAGTAACAATACAAATAAAATAAACAAGTTATATGAATATTCATAGCATTCAAATTTGAGCTTTTTACTACCCCAACTTCATTCTTATATCTAACATTTTTAGCAGTTTTGGTTGAATTGTTGTATTGTATCTTTAAAGTGTTATTGCAGATTGTATGCAACATGAAATAAATGCTTAACATATTAATACCACAGATGTAATAATAATAATAATAGCTTTATTTTGTTAGTGCTTTTTACAGGTACTCAAAGTCGCTTTACAGAGATAGTGAAAGTAAAAGAACAAATGAATATAGTTAAAGTCAAATACAAATCAAGCAATACAAAAACAATCACACATTATAAGCCAGATTGAAGAGGTGAGTTTTTGTAAGTGTTTTGAAGGTGGTGAGGTCAGTGCAGTCTCTGATGGGTTGTGGGAGTGAGTTCCAGAGGGAGGGGTCAGCGACGGAGAAGGCTCTGTCCCCCCAGGTCCGGTGATTGGTGCGGGTGGGGATGGATAGGAGGTTGGCTTCTGATGAGCGGAGGCAGCGGGAAGGGGTTGTGGTGGTGGCAGCAGGTCTGTGAGGTAGGGGGGGGCCTGATTGTTGAGGGCTTTGTGCGTTAACTTATGAGCAGGACTTTGAAGTCGATTATTTGACGGACGGGGAGCCAGTGGAGGTTCTGGAGGACGGGAGTGATGTGGTCTCGGGAGCGGGTGGGTGAGGAGGCGGGCAGCAGAGTTCTGGATATGTTGGAGTTTATTGAGGAGGTTGGATGGTATGCCGTAGATCAGGGGTAGGCAAGTAAGTTTGGCCGTGGGCCAATTTTTTGCTGAGCCGCAAGATGGCGGGCCAGAACATAATCAAAGCCTAATTCAAGGAATTGATTTTGGTAAGAGGGCGCAGCGCCCCTGTTCCCCGGTTCAGAACAAACTCTATCGCTGATAACCCTCCCCATCAACACTGATGCGCAGTCAGATCCGCTGATTGGTTCACTGATGATATAGGCGCCCAATCCAGAGCCTCTGGCTAGACCCGCCCAAAGGGAGGCTCGTCCTCTCTAGCCCCATTTCAGTCCCAAAGCCAGGGCTATTATCTGTATTTTAACAGACTTATCTTTTAAATTGAGGTGTATTTATTGTTCTCTTCAAAGTTTATTTTTCTCTGAAATTGTAGGGAGGATGGTCCTCCCTTTCCTCAATGGACGAGCCTCCACTGAGTAAAGTAGAGTTATTAACTAGGTAGCAGTGTTATTTAACATACTTTTATTCTGATAAGTATTGTCAAGTTCTCTGGGTTTTTGGCATTTATTTGAGTGTTTTTCCATTTGAGAGGCTTGAGGGACAACTGGAATCCTTTTTCCTTTTCTTTATTTCAACTTTTCAAAGACACATTAGGATTCTTTCAGGTTGAAAACATTTAAAAAATACCAAAGGACAAAATAAATCAATTACAGCAGTTTTGCTTTGCAATTTCATATATTATAACCTAAATTAATCAGTAACCAAGTATTTTACTCAAACTCAATGTATTTAATAGTTAAATAACTTATAAGTACTTGAATTGACCTGGTTCCCCTCAACCACACATTTGCCATATGTGACCCGCTCTATCGAAATCAATCGGAAGTCTCAACGGCTCATTTCAAAATAAACGTGGATTTGCGTAAAAAAATAGTTTTTCGGGGATCGGGTGTTTTGTTTGATTTTAAATAAACAAAGTCTTGGCTTTCAGAATATGACATTTTTATTTCCAAAATCACACGATAAATACATGTTTGAAGCTTGTAAAGGGAAGATGACAGCTCTCCCTCGCCACTCTGCTCTTCCACAGCGCCGCTTCCCCTCCCTCCGCTGACATTATGAATGTAAGTGGATATGTCGGGACAGAATTTATTTTACCGGACAAATTTGAAACTTACCGGTCATGTTTCAATAATAATAATAATAATGGTGTAGCAGAGTTTCCGTTAGCAGGTAATCACCGGACTAGGACCGGATGCTGATGTTTGAAACTCAGTTAATGGGGCTCATTTTTATATTGTTTATAATCGTTACAGATCAAAAAATTCAGATTCATTTTTCAATAAATGATTCAACAAACAACATAATTATTACATTCAAACAAACTAATTGTAGTAGGTGAACTACATTATTCAAAAGTTTACATTAACTTTGAATAATAACACGGGAGAAACGGATGCTCTCTTTTCCCCTCTCCCTCCCTCTCTCTCCTGACAGCCTGTCAGTTTCTCATGCAGCTCGCTAAACAGTGGGCGGGGCTTCAGGTGATCATGCAGAGCTGCGTGTCTCCATCAGACTCAGCAGCTGATCTGATCTCTCTCTCGGGTCCGGTTACACTTCACTCGCGTTTATGTCCATATCGATCAGATCCAGCTCTCCTGATCGGCCTTTATAGAGAGCACCGATCAAACTATTAAGAGTGAATATCGGCCGATAATGACCGGCGGCCGATAATGACCGGCGGCCGATCGATCGGCGGCTAACGGAAACCCTGATGTGTCGGTCCAATGTTGTAAAAAAAAAAAAGTTAAAAATGTATTTTTAATTCTCAAAATTACGGGCCAAATATTATTGCTGGCGGGCCAACAATGGCCCGCGGGCCGCCTGTTGCCGACCCATGCCGTAGAGGATGCTATTGCAGTAGTCGAGTCGTGATGTGATGAATCAGGGTTTCAGCAGCAGAGGAGGAGAGTGATGGGCGGAGACGAGCAATGTTTTTGAGGTGGAAAAAGGCAGTCCTGGTGATGTGATTTATGTGGTGATTGAATTTGAGCTGACTGTCGAAGATGACTGAGGTTGCGGATGTGAGGGGGGGAGATAGAGTGTGGCTGTCAAGGGTGAAGTTGAAATTCTGGATGGTTTTGGTACGGGATGGGGTGATGCTGCAAATGCTGCAATCAAGCTAGGATGGTTTATTACAATTACACATAATTTGGGGGGGTGGCATGAAAGAGATGATGAGCACATGCAAAGGTGGATGCACCAGGCAATGAACAATGGTTGTCACATTGTTTCAAGGTCTCTGGTGTGTAGTGTATGAAGTGAACTAGTGCATTTAAGTGTTCTACAAGGAGAATCACCAGGCTGTGTGCAAAAAAACACCCCATAATTATGGAATGCTGTTTAAGCCAACATTAAATAAATACATAAATAATTAAATAAATATATATGCCTATGAAATAAATTCTAAAATAAATAAATGAGGCAATATATATAAATGTAAATTTTAAATACACATTTATTTATTTCAAGGGACTTATATTTCATAATGCCACATTTATTTATTTCATGGGTATTTTTCTTCATAATACCACATTTATTTATTTCAGGGGACTTTTATTTCACAATGCCACATTTCCATTTCTTATATTCAAATGAACGGGGCGTGGTTAGCTCACAGATCCAGACCAAAGCAACAGCAGCATCACAACACTGACTGCTCAAGAAGAGGAAGAAAAAGAAGGAGAAGGACTACTGAATAAAAATAAGGCAAACTACTAAATGAAAATAAGGCGGGGCAGACAACATGGAAGACGTAGGTGGGCTCCAAGATGCCATGCTATCCTTAGCAAATCAAATTGATCAACACGGTTTAACCCTAACCCAATATCAAGCCACGATTATTGTTTTTATTTTAAATCGTATAATGTCTGACCTTTTTTGCCGTCCGCGAGGAAAATAAATGGGGCTCAGAATACTGAAATTTGTATTTTTCAAATATTTTTTTCCTTCTAATTTGTTATTCTTTTCAAGAAGACAAACTGGAAGAAATGCCACCGAAACTCATAAATAATCAGCAATTAAACAACATCTTCAATTTCTCTTCACACAACACGTCTCCTTGCAGTATCAATACTAATTCTGTTGACTTTTATATTTGATCCAATTGGTAGATATAGGTAGCAGTGCACAGCTGATAGAAAGGGACTTATAGTTTTTAAAGATATTATTGATTTTCTTTGAATTAAAGAATGTAAATACTGAGTTGAGAGAATAGTCAGGGGTTTTGGGTGATGGGAGACACATCTATGGAATCAGAATTTCAATAGCTTACCATTAAATGACGGATATACCTTTCTGTCTGTGATGTTTTACAAATCAGATATTAATGTGTAGAAGTAAAACATGCCAAATAATATAGCAATATCCTGTAAAATTATTTAAAAACATGAATAAAACTACACCTCTTCAGATGCTATACATACCTAAGTTTCCTACACTAATAATAAAAAGTATAATTTGTTGTGTTGACAGTTTTTTAACCCGCACCGCCTAGTGGTTAAAGCACGTTATTGCATTTTTTTGGTTGAATATGTTATATATAAAAAATATTAAGAGTACATACATAGTGGGAAAGTAGAAGGTCAATGATAGAAATATAGAATATAAAATATCAAGAAGATACTGTAGTGATCTCTACAATAAAACAGTTTAGTGCCGGATGTACAAAGATATTAATAGGAGGATGTGCCAAACAGAAAGACTAATTCACCTTTATTTAAACACTAAAGATGACTTTAGGTCAGTGGTTCTCAAACCTTTTCTGTCAGGCGGTGGAGAAAAAAAAGTCAGGTCCCCTCAACACAAATATTCACGTAATGGGCCAAGTTAACATTTATTAAAATACATCAATATGAACGTGAGCATTCCACTTTGCTAGAACAGTGATAATAAAACAATGCTCCATAATTCTGTGTGGTCAAAACAATAAATACATAATACAATTGTGCAATCCCTTTGCTAGAACAATAAGTTATAATACTTTGCCACTTTGCAAAAAAATGAAAAGAAAGAAAATGCTGATATTTGGCCAAAAAGTGTGTCTTATCACAGCATTAGTGGCTGCAATGAGCCTGTTTTGCACTGCACATATTGTTGGTTTTTGTTAATTGTTCTCGCGTCCAGGAGGAAGTTAAAATAAAAGTAGTAGTCTCTGAAAAGGTTCAAATTGGTACTTTAATTAAGTAACGTGGTTTCGAAACAAACAGCGATAAGGGACAAGGGGTTGCAGGCTCAGTGGCGGCGCCAGAGATTTCT